CCGAACGGAACCACACGCACACCGCACCGACGCACACAAGCCAAGTTTAGCAAGGATAAAGCCCAGGATTCAACCCAGAAGGCCCCAATGCCAAACTGTGCTCGTCACCCACTTAACTTTATATGTGTAGTGTTTTTAAAAAAAATGCCTTCAGGACTTATCCAGCAGAGAACGACCATATATCAAAATCCGTCCAAAAACAAGAAAGATGGGAAATACACACTCATAATAGGACGCCGCACAGGAGCAGTAGGAAAATCGACACAGAACGTGACGACACAGATCCAAGAAGACCTCGTGGGAGAGAAGAATTCGGCTGAGCATACAGAAGGGGACCAGCATACTGGCGAGTGCACTCCATTCCTGTGGAGGACCAGGCTGAACGACAGGACTCGATGGAGGCATAGGCATGCTGCTTGTGACCCTGCTGAAACTCTAGGCGCGTCCTCGATGGCTGTGGCACCGGGTACACAGTGGCAAGGGAGAGGAAAGAGCGAGGAATAGCTGGGCTGAGAAATGAGGCCAGGAAGCCAAGCACGGAGGCTGTGACGTGAGGCTTATGAAAGGGACTTTCCCTGGACACATCTGGCAAAGACCGTAGGCCACATGTCTGGATCTAAATATTTAAGTTGAATCACTACACCTCTGGTATATTGTTGAATTATGATAGGAGAACCAATCTGAATTCACACTATCGCCAGAGGGTACTATTTTAAAAAACTGACTTTCAGAAATGCTTTTATGACACAAAATACTTAGTAACACGTGAATATGTACCGATTGTTAATGCCTTATTCAACATAATTATCAATACAAACCTTGAACCAAAAACGCTACTGTCCACTGTCCATCGCTCTCTGAATGATGCCGAATAGATCGACATTTTCGCAACAGAGAAATAACTCGTCCAAATGGACGCTCTGTCGTTCCACCCACCTTCAAATGGAGATCGTTATAAGCTCAGTAACACGTCAGGTACAAATGGCAGCGGTCCAGATCTGAATCTTACAAGCATTAACACACTATCAGGGCACAAGCAAGCGGTCCACCGATTTCACAAGATACAGCAGTTCGGGCCAGGAAATAAGTTTTGTTAAAAGTACTAAAGAACGAGACATCATGCAGAAAAAGCCATTTCTCCAAGCAGCCTTCCACAATCTCCCATGTAGAGCTACAGGACCTCCTTTCCGTGTGCTTCACACAGTTGATTTGAATTTGGACATTACCTGACGCACCTTTCACATTGTGTCATCGAGTCTGCCCCCTGATCTCATGAGATCTTGGGTGGCCAGATATTATCGTTCACCATCTCATATGCCAGGGGCTACATCACACAATAATACAGCACGCACCATTACAGCAATTGCACTCCTCTGTTTAAAAAAATCAAGTCATCACAGAAATCACTGCCCACTTTCACAAAGATAAGTTTCAGAGAGGTGAACAACTTTACCCAAATCCCTAGGAGCTAGTAAGGGGGGGGGCAGCATTAAATACAGGCCTTTTGACTTGTAAACCAAGTAGAACTGAGTCAGTCCAGCTCTACCATTCACTAGCTCTGTGACACTGTGCAAGGTACTTAACCTCTTTAGGCCTCAGATTCCTTATCCACAAAATGGAGATAGTAACATCTACCAACCCAGGGCTTCTCAAAGAATCAAGTGAGAGAAAGTATGATAAATGGACTGGCACCACTAAGTGGTGGCGTTAATTATTATTACTATAACAATTACTATGCCAATATATTATTACTATACCATTGGAGGCCTCCTCTGGCACACAGAAAGGAATCCATTAATTCAATCAGTTTTTACCAAGCATCCACTCTATGCCAGGTACCTTGCCAGGTGCTAGGACACAATGCGGATGGAGGGTAACAATTACAAGAGCTGGTGATGGATGAAACAGAGGTGTGAGTGTGACGGATAAAGGTGCCAGGGAGGATTTCCAAGTTTCTGGCTTGAGAAAGTGGCTGGATGGTGGCACTTCCACTGAGAAGGGAACCTGGAGAACCTCCAGCAGGACTAATGACAGGGGGGTTCAGCTGTGAATTACATGAGTGTGAGAAATCCAACTCAAGTCATCACAGAGAAATTGACAGAGGGTGTTAAGCTCAGAAGGGTGATCTGAGGTGCAGACGGAGATTTGAGGGTCCCTAAACAAACCGAAGCTGGGGATGTGGATGAAATCATCAGGAGACAGAGAAGAGAATGAGAAAAGAAGGGGCCACGGGGAAAACTTTAAAGAGCTCCAACTTCAAAGGCTAGAGAGCAGAGAATGGACATTCAAAGAAGAAATGGAACTAATGACCAGAGGGGGAGACAAGAGAGGATGACGTCACAGGAGCTAAAGATGCTTTGAGGTGGTCCCACGGGACCAAGGAATCAAGAAAAATACATTTGGAAAGTATCCGTGAGGTTTATGATGAAGGTGTCACTGACAACTGTAACGTTACAACAATGATAAAAGCCAGATTAGAATGGAATTGAGGTGTCTGCTTAAAGAGAAGGAAATAGGGTGCTAGAAGGGAACATGACATTGAGAGAGGGTTCTTTCAAAATGAGGGACCCTTAGATTTGTTTAAGTGCTTATGAAAAGAGTTCAGGAGAAAAGGAGAGGCTGAAAACACAAGAAAGATGGAAGGCGATCAAGAGTGTAAACTCCCGAAGAAAATGGAAGAGGACGCAATGCCCTACTCTACTGCAAATACAAAGGGCAGACAGGGAGGATGTGGGTGAGAGCACAGGGTGAGCCCGCACTCCAGACAACTTGAAACTGAGGGCTCTCCAGTCTGATGGCCACTATTTCCCCTGTGAACCAAGAGGAGCCAGCCCACCCTGCAAAGACAGTGGCTCACATCTCTTTCCAATTCAGAGGCCTCATGTTGGCAGCCATGGAGATTGGTAAACACTACAGATGAAGGCTTTCTTCCCCCCCTGGATAGCCAGTCTTAACATTGACCAGCACACTGCCGATGTTAGGGAAAGTGTGGGAAGAGGTTTTTTTTTATTAAACTCTAAGCTACCAAACACATGTACTTAATTGGAAATTCTAATACCTAATTTATTTATTAAATTTATTTATTTATTTTAGGCTAGTCAAGGGAAGCAGTGGGAGTGGAAAAGGAACAAAGGAATCTGTAACTGGTTGTGATCAATTAGTTGTAAACACCACTGCCCTTGGACCAGCCAAATACCTTATTTATTTACTGAGACAGAGCCTGCTCAAAGCAACCTCAAACTCCTGGGCTCAAGTGATCCTCCTGCCTTAGCCTCCTGAGTAGC